CAAATTAGATAGAAAAAAATAGTTGTAGTAAATTAAAATCAATGATATTAAAATAATGAGATTATATAAGTCAGAGCCTTGATATAGTTTAGATTGGAAATATTCCATTTACCGTTATAACTAGATTTTTTATATACATATAAATAAAAAACTTGCTAATGTCAAAACAATGCTGCTTTTCTTTATTTCTTGTAACAAACCGGGTCATTTAGCACCTTGCCAAAAATGAGTAATAACACATTAATAAATTAGTTCTTAATATTCACAGAAGAAAATAAGATGTCTATAAAGCTAAGGGTTCTATTATGCTCCAGGAAAAACGGGAGCAATGTAAATAGCTCCAAACTTTTATGTTTTTCCTCTTTTCATACCGCAAAGAAGTATGAATGTAAAATGATTCGAAAATCTTGCGCGCTTGTACTTAGCTTACAACAAAGGTTCGTTTCATACGAAGGAGTGTCCCAACTTTGTCTCAGTGCATATACGTTAATGATGAGGGAATTGGTATCGATATTATGAAATGTCGATAATTTTTATTATAATTCTACTTCTTGAGAGTTAAGACTAGTTAAAATCCTTATAAAGGAAAGTTAATGAGAAAAATTGATCGATTGGCTCAATACAGATATTATGGCTGTTTTGTATTATTAAGAGACGTTTTGACTTAATTGATAAGTCAATAGATTTGTATTGATTTTTCGTTATGCATCGATATACTGAAAAATGACCATCCCTAATGCACGCTATACATGTGTCTGGGACAAAAGCAAGCGGGCTGTCCCGCCATAATATAAAATGAATATTTAATTTAATTGAACTAGATTGGGTGGGACTAAATGTGAACGCTCCTCACCTCAATTCGAGGACATGTCTCGAGCGAGAAAAGTGAAAAAGAAACGAGTCTCGAACTGGATTAACACCGTATTCAAGAAAACGTCATCAAGGATAAATTTATATTAATTTATATTACCTAGTGTGCTTGAAGTATGACCGATGATACAAATGAAGATATGAATATCCAAAACTGTAGATTCCTTTCACACAAACGCAATTGACGAGTTAGAATCACTTTGTATATACAGTGCGAGTCTTAAATAAGTGCAAATATTTTCAGGGCTGGTAAATCTCTATAAAAGAAACATATATTCTCTTTACTGTTTCAAATAAATCTAATATAACCGAGATATTTTATTTTGAAAATTTCCAAAAAAATAATTTTTTGTTAAAATTTTGAGAACCACTGGATCTTTTCTGGATTTTCTCTCTTGTAAATTTAATTTACCATCTATGTTGTCATATTATCAACAAATTATATTTTTTAATTGAGAACTAAAAAAATTACGAATTTTTTTTAAAAAAAATTCCAAAAAAATGTTTTTTTCGTGAAAATAACCTCATAAGCGTGTTTTTGGGGTCGAAATATACTACCCCTAAAATATTTGCACTTATTTAAGACTCACCCTGTATAAACTACTTCAAAAACTATGCTCGAAACAAATTGCGTCATTATAAATGTGCGTTGTTGTAATAAATTTGAAGAAAATCAACCGTACACAAAGGATATATTTATAAAAAAGAGTGTAAGCAGTCTAGAGGCTACTTGAGATCGGTACATGAAGAGGAATACTGTAATATTATATCGAAACAATTTCGTAAAATCTGTTTTAATCGGATATTTAAGCATAATTTTCGTTCTATTCATGTTTTGACATATAAAACTTCTCTAATAAGTTGTTGAATCTGAACAAGAAGTTCTGTAATCATCAGAGATTCAAATAAATCAGTATTGATTGTTTCAATTCGTACATTTAACTGTTGTAATAGAAAGCAATACTGTTTGAAAAATTATCTTTAATTTAATTAAGCTTTAACCAGTTTTAGCGAAATGGAATGTTTAAAATGAGACACTAAGAACAATTGTGTTTTTAAGTAATAATATGCTTTCACCTGTTCAAAACAATACAGCATAGAAAAAAATACACATTTAATTAAATTAAATCGGCTAAAATATATTAGCAAGGGTTAGAATAGATTTTTACTTAAAGGCAGCTACAAAGAACTTTATAGTTCTAGGCGATAGGTGTGAATTTTCACATACACGTGTGAAATTACCACTAAGAGGCATGATACTAATTAACACAAATAGAGGGACAAGCTGTGTCGTATGGAGGTGAATTATTTTTTGATTATCGAGTCTATTCCTGGCTATAAAACTACCTGGACATATTAATATCGTAGGAATAAATCAGTAAAGCTAACTTTGTTACGTAAAAGGTCATAAAACTATTTACTACGTCTCGATGTATAAATGAAAAATCAATATTTTATTAGAACTTTTTTGAAAAATCGAATGCAGCTGTCTAAACAGTTATCATACACTATATATCTGCATAAGTAATATTGATTATTGATTCGTTATCAAAGCAATAATATTTATTATTGAATATTTTGATTGCAATTATTAATCAAACGGACAATCGGAGCTCGCAATACATGAGCCGTTACTTCTGTAACTAACTAGAAACTGGCCAGTGTAAAAACTGACCTGTAATAGCCAAGTGATTTTCTTTCATTCTAGGTCTCTATCTACGGCCATTGTTCTTGTTATATTTTAGTTATTATAACGTTTTGATGGTTAACAATATCAAGCCAAAGCGGAAATTCAAAAATAAAGAAAGTAATCTCAATTACACTAGAAATACTATTAGTTTTTCTAAATATTCGTAAATTTTTATATTTAATTTCAGTAGTTTTAGTCATTTTTCAGGGCTTTACTATTTTTTAAACGATGTATATAAGAACTTTTTAATATTTTTTATGGGAAATAAAAAAAGTCGTACTGTTTCTTTAGCTTTAGAGAAGATCCAAGGACCTACTGCATTCTCTCCGGGGAGCTGTCTTAAAACTATTAACATTTCAGATCAAAAGAAGATATATCCTGAAAGAATATGAAATTTTACAAACGACAAACATAGTTTGAGTTCATTTAAGATTTTACTATTTTTTTAACCAGCAAATATGTATATGAACTCGTAATGTCTGGCCAGATTTCCAAGATCTTCTGAAATACGCACTTCACAACTTAAAGTTATTAATAATTTAGCCCAGAATTATAGAGTCGTAAAGGAACATAGAATTTAACTCATGTCAAGTTTATTTCAGTTTTTTTGGGACCGTTACTAATATTTCTTAAAGCGGTAGATTGAGAAAACATAACTAAACACGAATCAAAGAAATATTAAGTGTATTTTAAGCGATTTCTTAATTCTCCTGTCGTGTCGGAAACCGAAATCTGAATAAACAACTTCGTTTATATTAAGCCCAAGCTGAGTCTAGGATTAAAAAAAATCTCGTGTCTGCCGAGGAGTCTGCCTTCAAAGAACAAGAAGTGTAGCACAGAACAGGGAAATATATTCAGTTTTGAAAGAGCCCATTATAAACCCGAAGAAGTGAATTTGAACGTGAATCAACTAAAAACGGATGGAATTTAATTATAGACCTCTAGAACCTCAAATCTTTTATGTTTATTCATTACGTTTTTTTTGATAGTCACAAATCTATTTGAATTTTAAAATAAAATATTTCTATCAATAAATTTAAATATATTGATGTTTACAGTGCAGAACTTATTTCGTATTATATAAGTATATTTTTTTAAATAAAACGTTTTTAAACAAAAATATACGCCACTAAAGCCGCTCCTTCGCTCCTTGATATACATTCATTGTTCAATTTTTTTTCTGGTACAGTTCCTATAAAATAATTAACCCATGCAATTTGCAGTTAATAATTAATTTCTGCATTTTAATATAAAAAGCAAATTAAAAAAGCTATATAGCTTTTCAGTATTGTAGCACGTCGAGCAAGTAATTATTTTAGATTGTATGTCAAAGCCGAAAAGAAAGAACCTCCTTAATTTGTTTGTAAATGTCAACAAAAATCCTTCGTGGAGTCGAATGCTTTATTAAACCTCAAGAAGCTATTATATTTATATTTAATAAAAATAACTTGTTATTCCATGTCATTTAAATAAGCAGGAGCATTAATGTTAATTTTTATTTAACCTTTACATTTTAGCAATTTATTGTTTCACTTTTACATCGTTAGCTTACATATTGATTGGTAATGTTTTAATCATAAGTTAATTGTAGTTAATTGGTAGAAAAAATAATATTTATTACCCCTACGAAGGCTACGTATGTGTTTATTTTGAGAATATACGTACCGTATGATATTTATCAGTAGATATTACTTAATAGTAAAGTTAAATTAATTATGAGAGATTAAATGTGTTTGTGCATGGCATATAGGCATTGTTCGAAATAAAATTTATTTATTTAATTCAAGGTTAGCTTTATAATAATCTTAAGAGAAAATACAGGCTTGGTTCAGGCAAGTTCAGGGTAGGTTTTTAGTGGAGTAGTAGAATTTTTACAGTGATGGGAATAACCCTCCCGAGACCTCTGTCGATTGTACTCTTTCCTTAGCTTGAGACAAAATTCTCGGAACTGTCCCTCCCGGGTCCTCTCTAAAATTTCTGACATTTCAGATCAAGCAAAGGTATATTCTCAAAGAATATAAAATTTTAAAAACAACATGTATAGTTTCAGTTATTTTAGTCAGTTTCTAATGTTCTTTTTAATGATAAATATAGGAACCTTTAATATCTGGATAGTTTCACGACTAGTGCTTATATAATACGAATTGCTCTTAAAACTCTTAATATTTTAGCTCAGAGATATAATTGCACTTTCCTCTATTATTAAAAAAGAATTTCTTTTATTTGAGATATTATTCTCTTGTATATAAAATAACAATTGCGAGTTATTTTCTGGTATGTACAAGTTCTTATTATAGATTGAAAAGTGCAAAATGAAATTACGTATGGAGCGGGAAGTTCAACGCCTCAAAAGAATAAAACTTGTTTAGAGTAATCTAATAAAAAGAGGGGTCAATAAAGATAAATTAGATTAAAGCCGTGCATATATTATGATACTAACCTTGTGTGCGTAGTTTCGACAGAGGGGCTTGAATGAATTGGTCCCACACACCAATAATTTTCCTGGACTAGTAAAGAAGAGCAGTCTAATGTAGTTTTGGCATTCGTCTTCGTTTTTACCCTTAAGATTACATAGTTGGCTATGGGCTTCCGATGAAGGCCAGAATATTTCTGAGTTCTTTCGCTCACTAAAATCGTATATCGACAAATTGTATATTCGATTTCTTCCGCCCAACAGGATGGAATCTTTGTCTTGATACAAGACAGTAAAATGGTCGGGAATGTTGCTGCCATTCCCCCGAAAACTAATACTAGATATTTTGTTTGCACTGTTCATTAATTTTGTGCTCGTGTCTGGAAGCCATGCTTGACAAGCGTTTATTATATAAAACAATATAAATATTGGGAGATATTCGTTGGTTTTCAGGCACAGGAAGGCACTCGAAGACATTTTTTCTGGATCCTCTGGATTCTGGATCCTCCTCACGTTCTCTTCTGTTATTTTTCATCCATTTTTAGTCTGAAACAAACAAACAGTTGTTAAAACCTATCGAAGACAGTGGAACGACATTATCAAAGATTATTTTACTAAGAATTCGTATTGTTAAATCTTAATACTAGATTAATGTTTGATTGACAGACGAAGGCTGGAAAATGTTATATTCTACAAAGGTCTAACAAGAGCATTTGGTTCCCAAACCGAATAAAAATCGTATAAGTTTTAAAATGACATAAAGGTCATCTTTATTTAGTAATTGATATCATTTATCAGCAGCAACACAATAACTATTTCGCCCACGTAAATTAATGCTTGAAATATATCTTATTTATGCCCAATTATTTTTATTGGTATTTGTCAAGAGCAAACGTAATTGGGACATAGAAAATATTCTTTTTTCCTGTTGAGTTTTATCGAAAAGATGTAGACAATTCAAAGGAAACATGTTAACATACTAAAGATATATTAGTAAGAAATATTATTGCATCAGAGTATAAATATAAAGCACTTTTGTTCCCAGACTAAATAAAAATATCGATCAAACTTTATTTTTAGTTATTTTATTTGCGTTGTGTTTTTTAAGAAGTTCGTTATGGCATTCTTTAAAAAATAACTTAGTTGGATGGAACATAATCCGAGAACGCGATGTTTGAATTGAAATTTACTTAAAAGTCGGAGCCTTTGTGACCAAACAAATATTAAAAATTTACTTGCAAACACGTTCAAAGAATCGTGGAGTTTTGTCAGCCAACAAGATTACTGTGTCAATATTATGGACTTTATGTAACTTACTTGAAATGTTCATTAGTTGAAAGCAAACAGGCACATAAAGTTGTGGTATGTTTTATTTGCGATACGTACATGCATAGCATGAAATTATGTATAAACCTGTGTAGCCGAAACTTATCGTGTTGAACAGAAACCAACGCTAGTATTGTAACTACGCTAACAACAAAGTAAACGAAAATTGAAAATTAATGGGAACAATTAACGAACTTTCTAAATTGACATTCAAACTTGAAATTTTAAACCTGACTAGATATTGTTTTAATAATTCTCATTTAGAATCAGAACGTCTTCTGTACCGAACGTCCATTATAATTTTTTTAAAAGAACCGATCCTTTTCTTTATAAACTGACTGAGTAATGTTTTGTGATTTTTCCTGTATTTGTTCATTGTCAACTTCCTTAAGATAGACCTAATCTGTGAAAGAACCCACCCAACCTAAACCAAACCTTAAGTGGCGTTCATCTGTACTGTGCAATTGATCCTAAGCCACATAATAAATTATAAGTTAATTATGTAGTGTTAAAAAAGATAACAAAAGAAAAAAATTGATAAAATTTCCTACAAATACTGTGAGAGATTTTTGATAATGTAGGGTTATTTAATAAACTTTAGTCTATCAGAAAAAAAACAAGTGAAAGCGTTAGAAAAGAACAAATTTTTATGTTGATAGTTAATTTATACGATCAATTTTGCATAAAATTTTCAAGATTTTAATCGAACCAACCACACGTTTCGCGTTCTGCTAGTTGAATTTCGCCTTTTTTCGTCTGCATGCGATTTGCTTGGTCTGCGGGAGAGGCAAGTTTCCGTTTAACCCTCGTACGAGGCAAATATAAAACTTTAAATTGCTTGTAGACCCCTCACTGGCTTAAATATTCAATATTCCATTACACAGAGCAAAAGAACATAAAAAAGATTAAAGGCGTGTAAATATTTTCTATATTGCAGGGCCAATTATTGTGGACGGTTTTTTTTTCTTCCTTTCTTTGCCTAGTTAGAGCCAGTTGGCTGGCTTTGAAGACTCACATGTTCTTTACAACCTGAACCCTTACGGTTATCAAGTTGATGCACGCGCATATTGGAAACAAGATACACTATGGATACGTTTTTAGTGTAGATTGTAATAAAATTGTTTGCTATTTTTAGAAATTGGGACTGAATATTAAGAAAAGTGTCGAGCTTAAATCTCGAAACATCCCTTAATTGTAACGTTTTCTTTAGCTTGAGACAAAATTCTCGGAACTATGGCTGTCTCTCCCGAGTCCTCATTGAAAACTACTAACAAATCAGATCAAACGAAGACAGATCCTGAAAGAATATAAAATTTAACATACGACATATGACATACATAAAATATGAATTGCTTCTCCGAATTGCTAAAACTTTATAAAAATGTTTATATTTCCTGTAACTTTTGGTTGTTTCAGATTATTATTAACATGTTTTAACAGTATATAGAGTAACTCGTACTGTTTTATTAGTGTGAGACAAAATTACCCGAACTATGGCTATCTCGCCCAGATCCTCCCTTACATGTTTTTTTATTTATAGGTTATCAAGTTGATGGAAACAAGATACACGCTGCACTCTGCATATATTTTAGTTTTTAGTGTAGATTGTAATAAAATTGTTAGCTATTTTTAGAAATCGAGACTGAAAAATAAGAAAAGTGTCGAGCTTAAATCTGTATTCTTGGAGGCATTAGAGCTACGCGCGGTCACTTTCAGGTTTAAATTAACTCCTAAACCTGATTTAAGCGTACGCTGTCTTTTTATAAGAAACAGCCTCCTGACAGTTTTGCTCTACAATATACGAGCCACTTGTTATTAGCGCAAGGTATATTATCTAATTACACCTCCAACTGTATAATCAAAACTAATTATTTATTAAATTTTAATAGTTTGCAAGCCATTAAATTACACTACGTCTAGTGCCCCGTACGCTATCATTAAAATGATCTTTCTTTAGCTATGGATGCATAAAAATAAGCAAAGTAGCCTGTACGATGATTATAATTAGACCTGACAGCGAAAGATGGTAAAATAAATTTAAACCGTGTAGTTTTTTCCTCTAAAGCCGTTTTGTTGTTTTAATTATTTTCGTTTTAATTGGGCTTATTATTTATGACAAACGGGGAAAGGACTTAAAAATTAACTAGCAATTTTATTCGGAAAAAATATCTCCTACAGCACAGGTCCGGATTAATACTTCAGCAATACAAGTACTCGTATAGTGATATAAGATATACCTACAGGTTGTTAATTTGTTTATTACTCGCGGCAAGAGCTTTATGGTTGAAATATGGCAACATCGGCCCGCTCGTCGATAGACGACGCCACGCGACGAGTCGACAGAAAACCCTATAATAAGTGCATGCGTTCTCAATAGGCAGTGTTGCCAATCTGTTCCCCTATAAGTAACTGTCTAGTTAACAATCTGTATAAGTATTACTGTCCTCATAGGACTACACAATGGTATGTATTTTCTTATTTTCCACCTTTTAATTAGTAAAACAAAACAGCAGTTTTAATAAAAACATTAGGAAAATCGCCAATTTTCATGACTATATACAGGGTGAGTCCTAAATAAGTGCAAATATTTTTAGGGGTAGTATATTTCGGTAGTTTTTTTTCGCGAAATTTTTTTTCAAAAATTGGGAATTTTTTTGAAAAAAAATTTGGATTTAAGAAAAGATAATTTCTTGATAATATGGCAACATAGGTAGTAGATTAAATTTACAAGAAAGAAAATCCAGAAAAGATTTAGGTAGTGATTCATTTTTTTTTTGGAAATTTATTACTTACTTAGTACTTATTTGAAAAACGATAAAGAGAAAATATGTTTCTTTTATCGAGATCTACCGTCCTACCAGCCCTGAAAATATTTACACTTATCTAATACTCACCTTGTATATTTTTCACTCATTTTATGGCTTATATCTTCTTACTCTATACACCTTTTAATTAGTAAATAATAGTTTACTAGAAATTACAAATACTGTTTATTCGGTAAGTACGACCCTGTGGGGAAGGATATGTTTGTAACTTGTTTAACATGTTGCGGTTAAAACTTGTAACTTCTTAGAGAAATTATGGGAATTTTATAGTAATTTTATTAATACAACTTATCGGCGAAACCGGGAAATTATTAGATTTCATAAAATAATCAACAATCCGTAAATAACTATCTTATGGTAAAGGATAAATAATTCTTCCTGTAGTATTCTATTACAGTGCCATCTGGCCATCGTGAACCAATCACTTGGCGTGTTTTATTGCAGGAAGGTGCCCACTTTTATAAAATTTCATCTAATCTATATTTTATACCGGCCGACAAGTACGTTCGTTGATTGATTTTTATTTATTATCACTTGTTTTATTACAAAACCGGTTTTTTATAAGACGCCTCGTTTTACATACAGAAGATTGATTAGAACAAGCAAAAATCATTTTGTGCTTTCTTAATTCTTCTTCACGCGTTGTTCCCCGTTTCGAAATTAGCATGATTGATTATTTCGACGAAAATTTGTTGTTTTATCTTCTTCATTTCGTACGCCAACTTTCTTTTTGTAAAACTTCGTTTAGCACTCCTTGCTAAGATTGTTAATAATAATTGCACGACGACAGCATTACGTAAAATTTAAATATTAAATTTGTTTCGACAATATTTCCCAAGTTGGATGGCCGGAGGCCAATCGAGGATCTGTTAAAAACCTCTGCGAAGCTCATCTTCGCGTTTAACCTTTTTCGTTCATACTGTAACACTTTAAAATGTCACAGCGAACAATGAAGAACCTTGAAACATCCACTTTACCGTAGAAGATACTATAATCTAATAGTAAACTATTATTCAGTAATAACTTTCAACAGAAAATAAATTTTCTTAGAAATCTTATCCCAAAGATGCATCACTTTTAAAAAACGAATATTTATATCGCTACTCTTAAAGCGAACCATGATTACATTTTATAATCATGTTTACTATTTTTTTATTTTTCAAAAATATGGCCTATTCTGGGCATTAAATCAAAAATTGGTCAAAAGCAAGTTGTGCAAAAGTTTTTCTTACAAAACCAAAGCATTTAAGTATTTAGAAGTTTATACATGCTAAGTTTTCTACAGACTCTTCAATTTTCAAAATTTTATGACCATGTTTACTGCTTTTCTATGAGTTCTGAATATACGAAAAGAAGGCCAAAAATGATCAATGTTTCTACTTCTCTCCATATCAACTAAACTTTGTCCATACTATTTAATATATAATTTTAATAAAACTACTGTCATTTAGTAATTAGAAGGCGTAGAATATGAACATATAAGGCATTTTTGACTTAAATTTCGGGTTTTAGATGTCGGCATCATTATAACCCTAACCATCATCAAAAATAATTTCGAAACAAGAGTTCAAAAAATCGAATTTCTCACCGTATCAAAGCATTTAAGTCTATAAAGGGCTTACATATGCGAAATCTACATAAAATTTCTTACAAATGTTTACATTTTCAATGTATTATGCCGATTTTTTAGAACTCTAATTTTCTTAATTCTAGTGAAATTAGTATATTATTAGAGTTCGGTAAAGTTCGCTTTAACAATAATTGAACATTGATGAAAAATAAAACAATTTTTCAAAAAAAAACACCGCATTTGAAGATTTAAATTTTTAATTCAGTCTTCCATTTATAATCATGAATTTTGAAACATTTCTTATATGGCATGATAAACTACCTATAGCGTTCATATTCACTACGATTTTTCTAAGAGACTGGTACATTCACCATCGCTGATCTATTAATTGTCCATAGCCATATACATAAATTACTATTACAATGATCTTTGTTGCTTCTTCGAACCATCAGTTCCATTGTTATTCAAATACGTGTTCTACGTATATGACCTCTAACTATAATCCTAACTTAATAACGTATATAAGAAGTTTTTTACTTCATTTCTATAATTAAGGCAGCACATAATAGTACTTGAATAGGTAGATTGGTCTCAGCATCTTTGACTTCATACATATATTACTTGAGGGAAGCAATAATTAGAGTCTATTATAGTTTATTTACCTCAACTTCGTGGCCTTTCTGAGACCATCCACGGCTTTTTTAATAACCAAAAAATGTCGCTATGAATACAGTTATAAAAAACAATAAAACGGAAACAAGTAGGGTTGATATAAAAGAAAGTGTCTTTATGAACATGAAAATAAAATTCAATAATTATAATTCCATTGTTGATTGAGCATGCAGGTCATTGAAAATACGATTAAAGAAGTAATCCACCTAGAACATATCTCTTTACCGGACATACGAAGGTCAGTCTCATTTTGGCAATAATTACCATCTAAAATAAAATACCTACTAATTAATGTACCATTAATTTTAGCAACTGTGTTTTATATTCGACGAAAAATTGCTCAGTTACCTTTTTGAGTTTGTCTTTAACGGAAAAAATATACTTCTCCTTGAGACTAACTTTTGAATGTCTAAATTCGAATGTATGACGGTCAAATCTATTACAAAACGATTGAAAAGCTTTGGGAAATAACATAATCACAACTTTATCATAACCATAATAAATCTCGAGTTTATTAGAACTTAAATGTCAGTATTTTTGATATTTTGGAACTTATTATGATGTGAAATAATCTACTTAAGCAAAATGATCTTCTTTGTGCCATTGTTCATCACTGGATGAACTGTTATTAACTCTAGTGCAATTAATCATTTTTAAGTGGATAATAGTTCTTGGAGACTTAAAGGATTTTCATACAGGATGTGTAGACACTAAACAAAGAAAACCAAAATTTAATTTGTTATAGAGGCCTGTCTACGTAAAATAAATAAGTTATATATATAATAGCGCCAGTATCAATTCAAATTCCATTAAAATTAACTAACTAAAATGTAAGCTTACTGTTAAATAAACACTTCCCAAACCTAAATAATTATTTATCCAAGTGTCGTGTTTAAAATATACACCGATACATGGTCTGTGTGTTCTAGAGGTTACCCTTCTTGTATGGATGTATATCTGTATACCACCATTATACTGAAATAAATCAATTCATTTGACGGCTCATTTCATACTCCCCTTTGTTAGTTTTACTCGATATACAGGGGGAAAGAGAAAACAGCTTATCTAAATCAGTTTCTGCGCTTATCTCAAAATATTAAATTAATAATAAACTATCTGTAAATTATTTTTTATATATTAAAGCGAAATATAGAAGCTATATTTTGTCATATTACATTGCAGCGCATTTTCTATATTTGTCACGTAATAGAGTAATACAAAGACACGCTACAGTGATTTAAATAAATAGTATTTTTTTAAATAGGACTCTGTAATACCAGCTATTATTTCAATTATTCCAAAACATTTCAATATGTCGTGTTCAAGTGAGAGATCTAAACTGGTAATTATTGGTGAAGTACTAGAATATAAATCAGTTCTTATTTGTTTGGTTCACTGTATATAAGCAAGCCATGCACGCCCCTTTTTAAAACATCCCCTAGACAGAAACAAGTGATTAGGGGACTCGATTATTCCCATCAGACATCTGTCAAGCGCACAGCTTTAAAAACTATGCCTAACATGTCCCACATTTTTTTGAGAAATCCGATATGATTTTCGCAGACCTCCAGATTTTTTTATTTGAAAATTTTAATCGCCAGTAGGGTAATAACTTTTAAAAATAAACAATCATCATATCGACAGGCCATATTTTCTTTATAAGACATAAAAAAATACTGGTATTTGAATGTTTAGAGAATGTTGAGAGTGTAGGTGAGCTGAAGGGTTCAAAAAATTCTCACAAAACCAATGCATTTGAGCCTTTATATGTTTATACATACTCAATCTACATAAAATTTTCTATAAAATCTGCAATTTTTATAAATCTGTGACCATATTTCCTATTTCTATAAGAGGTTTGAAAAGATGAAAACAAAAAGTGCCAAAGTCTTCGTCTTTTTTCCATATATATATATATATACCGGGTGCGTCTCAAAAGTGGCTCACCCCCTATAGCTTTTTTATTTTTTCATATAAAACAACGAGATTTGGTATGTTAGTATATGACATAAGTTAGGATTGATTGACGTATTCAATTGTTTTCGATCACTTCCGATTTCACCCGAAATGACTACAACTTTTGATTTTTAAATGGCACCCTCGGTATTTTTTTACTTTATGCGATAGAAAATGACACTCTGAATGGAATGACATATCATATGTCAATTTTTGACAAAGTCGCTCAAAAACAAATTCTATTTTAAATTTCAATCTAGAGTGCCATGGCTGTGTTAAAAACACTAATTTTTAATCAAGGAGCCTTGGAAAAATAGACTTGATCATCTAATGTTTTTAGTGTCTTGTCCTGGCCGGTTAAAAGATGCCCAAATCGTATTTTTAATCATACCTCAATTTTTTCAAATGGAACGAGGGTGGCTCATTAGCATATTTAGAAAAAGCATTTTTTTACGAATAATTTGATACCACACACTTGGTATTTTGAGTTAAATTGTCGTTAAGAACCGCATGTTACAATTTCAAATAAACCATATGCCAAAATGCCAAATTTGACACATGATATGTCATTCGATTCAAAGTGTGATTTTCTAGCGAATAAAGTAAAAAAATACCGAGAGTGCCAATTAAAAATCAAAAGTTGTAGTCATTTCCGGTGAAACCGGAAGTGACCGAAAACAATTGGATACGTCAATCAATCCCAATTTATGTCATATACTAACAAACCAAATATCGTTTTTTTATCTGAAAAAATAAAAAAGTTATAGAAGTGAGCCACTTTTGAGACGCACCCGGTATATATATAGTCATAGAAATTGGCTATTTTGATCAAGTCGGTGATTTTCATAAAACCACTGTTATTCTCGCCCAAAATCAACCCATTTTGGTATTACGAGTACAGTATTAGATGTTGGTGAAGTTTTACAAGTCAACAAAACTTGACTCAAAACAAGGTTTCAAAAAATAAATCTTCTCAAAGAAACAAACAATTAAAGCCTTTGAAGGTTATATACTCTAAATCTACATAAAATTTTCTATAGATATTGAAACTTTTAAAAGTTTATGACCATGTGTACTGCTTTTTTCTGAAAGATTTGAGAACAAGAAAATCTTTCGTATTTTTTCATTTAGTAATTATTATAGCTCGTTTAAGAATACATTTTTTTCTCGTCAGTGGTAATAACTTGTTAAAATAAACAATCATCATCTTTGCAGACTATCATTAGCATATCTTGTTTATAATACATAACAGCGACTGACACTTTTGAATGTACCGAAGAGTTTACGTGAGCTGAATCCGGAATAGAAAGAAATACGTCGTTTGGTTTGACAAAATCCACTTTGGGTAATGTTATGAATGTTAACAAGCCCATACTGTATTTATTTGTATTTATCGACGCGTAAGACATTGTAAAATGGCGCGTGTAATTCTTTTACATTTGCATAAAAAAATAATTACATCCAGGAGTTATATTGGCAGAGGTTCAGTAATATTTAAAATTTACCATACAAGGACTGAATAAAAATTTGAATCGTGTTTTCTAAATTGATATTCGGTAGAAGATGTAGGTGAATTATCCAAAAACAAGGGTTTAAAATACATACGTTTTTTTCTTACAAAACAAGGCATTTAATGACCTTAAAGTTTATATATTCCAGATCTATATAAAATTTACTAGCCACAGTCAAGTTTTCAAAAATTTATGACCATGATTATCAGTAATTTAAAAAAAAATAAAATTATTCAAAAGTATTCAAACTTTTCAGTTTTTTCTCCATACATTTGATGGTAATTTTTGGTAAAATTACAGACGTATATATCTTGTTTTATTGCATTTTGAGCCAATACTAAAGACTTTTATTATTCAAATGTTTAGATAGGAAAACGCATCAATAAGTAACTGGAAATCTGAACGTTCTTCATACATTTTTAATTAGTTTACTTTTAGTCGTCCGTGAACAAGTAACAACCTTTAGAACTTCATTATTTACGCTATAATTTACCACCAGTTAACTTAATAGTTTCCATAAACACCTTTAACTAGAGCTAGCAATAAAAATGTCAACAGCCCTTGCAGTGTCGCACGTAAAAAAAATTTGCGAAAATTTTGGAAAAATCAAAATCGGTTCGTGTTAAACGGGGTTATGTAATATGGTTATGTCTAATCGAAATTTAAATTCTCATTAAACCGTTAATTTATAAGACACAATTTAAATATGAATAAGTTAAAAGTTTGTGCCGTTAGAGCGAGTTTCAGGCCTGCCTTTTACTTTGCATTAGTATGCGAGGATAACTAAATTCATGTGTACCCATTTGCCATTGAGGCTATCTATAAAAGCAGTTAGATATAACTGACGACGTCATTTTTTCGTATTAACGCAGACGAAATCGCATCATTACGTGAGAATTAACAATCAGTTTGTTTGGCTTTCTTCCTCGAAGAACTCTGACCTTTGGTCTGTCTAGAAATTATTTTTGTAAAAGAACATTTTTTGATATTTTTTTTGCTTAACTTCTCCTTTCTAGTGTTTCCTTTTGAGCATTCGGCCTGATCCACTGCGACCTTTGCAGATCAATTGTCCTCTTCTGATCTCCAGTCCTATATCCATATAGCTCTCTGTCAATGGCCTATCATTGCCAACCGCACATTTGCCAGGCTATCGCGAGGACATAACATGTGTTCTCTCGTTTCTTCTTCAGATTGGCAGAAGCTGCACCTGGGTTCGCCCATCAATCCCATTAGCTTTAGATGCCTATACATCTTCCTATGCTCTATTGGTAGACTCAGTAAAGCTTTGACTGTCTTTCTGGCTTTGCTTATCAGGTCTGCCTGAACTTTTGTTGACACTAACCGTTCTACTATGAACTTTTTTCCTGTCTCTGCCCTGGTAAATTTCTCCACCATTCTAGAGATTTGTCGACTGCTTTTGCATTGCCGCTGAAGGATTCTAGGTCTATGAATGGGATTGATAAGCCTTGTTTCTACTAATACTTAATATTTTTTCCAGATCCAAACAAACTGGATCTCAGCGAGAAAGTTTTAACACAAATAGAAAACCGATATGAGTGATGTAGAAGCATTATATATAGAATTTTTTGAATTTTATTTTTGGTTTACTATGAAATCCTGCGTCACAGCCTACGCATATAAAAAGCTATTATAACAAGACGGAGTATCAGACAAAACAAATGCCAGCTAAAAACAAAACGCGAAAATCACCGCTTGCTTCTCAGACGTGAAAATTGTTTAAACTAATTTTAGCCTGGGAAGTTTTAGAATGAAAATATATTGTTGGCAAATTATTTACTATAGATATTACGCTAGGATATTTTTATCTATTTTTTTCTACTCGGCGCTGGCATATTTGAGGCATCTGGGTTAATGCCATCGATGATAGATTAAAGACCGTTAGATTTCTGCTCGCAAACGTATATTTAGTCGCAGGTTATGTCGATTTAAACAATACTAAAGATTTGCATTAGCAGCAACTATGTGGTAATGACTGCGAAAATTTTATGGGAAAATTACTTTAACTAAAGTGTTCGTGTGTGATTATTTTTGACAGGAAATTCGTCCTCAAATAATGAAAAAATATGGAGGAAATCATGCTCCAATTTCTCTGGACAACGATAAAATAAATATTGTCAAGGTTCCAAAATTTTGTTCCTAAATATATTATGTAGATAGACTCTTTTAATTATTTGGAAATTAACAATTAAAACTTTATATTTTCCGTATATAAGTTTATTGGAAAAGCAATATACAGTATTGTGTTGGTTTAGGGATTATAAAAAGAGAGGCATTTATACCAAAGTCTGTGATCATTTGCTTAATATTGATGACGATAAAATGAAACCGTCTGTTTACGAGGAAACCGAAATTTTCTGGCACGAACTTTAAACATTAATTAAGCATTTCCGTTTGTAATTTAGAAAGTACATTTCTATTCCATTGATTTCCCATCTCCGTTAGCGGCATAAGTCTATATTTGAGGTATTTATATAGCTAATGAAATTAGTATTATGTTCGTACATAAAATAAATTGATTTCTAGTGGGTGGTATGAATAGTACAGAAAAAAATAGATGTCATGAACGGAAAGCCAAAAATAAGTATTTTTTTCAGTTTTTTGTATACCTATAGTAATAACAGTATAATTTTGGTAAAACCAATGTCATTTACTTATTAGAATACGAAAATATAGACTGTTCTAGTCTTACGAGTACTAGGATGTAGGTATAATTTGACCCATCATCAAAAACTACTCAAAAGAAGGGTTTAAAAACGTTATTTTCTTACAAAACCAAATCGTTCAATCCTGTCCCATGCTTACATGTCCCAAATTTACATAAAATTTTCTACAAATAGTAAAATTTTCACAGTACTATGGCTATATTTACTATACTTCTAAGAGGTTTAAAAAAATTAAAGAAATGGTCAATTTCTCGAGTTTTTTCCATACATATAGTCACGAAAATTACCGATTTTGTTAAAACTGCTGTTATTTACCAATTAAAAGATGTAGAAAAAGAAAATATCGGTTATAGTAGTCTTACGAGAACAGTAATGGACACACGACACGTTTTATCCTTTATCAAAAATAGCTGAAAAAAAAGGGTTCAAAAAATTATTTTTTTCACAAAGCCAAGGTACCTAAGCTTTCAAACATGTATATATTCGAAATCTGCATAAAATTTTCTGCAAATTCTGAAATTTTCATAAATTTATGAGTAAATTTACTATTTTTCTAAGCCTTTGAAAATGTTTAAAATAAAATAGCCAAAAATGGACATTTTTGCGACATATAGTCAAAGTCGCGTATTTTGACTAAACAACTGTTATTTGCTTATTAAAAGACGTAGAATAAAAAAATATAACTCATTCTAGCCTTACCATCACAGTTTTAGGTGTAGGTATTGTTTTAACCATCTTCAAAATTTGTTCAAAACAGGTGTTCGAAAAACACATATTTTCACAGAACCAAAGCATTAAAACTATTAAAGGTTTGATGTATTCTAAATCTACATAATTACCTAGAAAAACTGAAGTTTAGAAATTTTTATAATCATGTTTCCTCTTTTTTTAAGAGCTTTTAAAAACGTGTAACTCTGTTTAAAACATCCTTAGTATACAACACTTCCTGAACGCAGACAAAATATAAATAAATTTTATCTCGCTTTATCTGTCGGTTATTATTATCTTTTAGGATCTTAAGAAGTGCATTTCCGTGTATTGTAGATAGACGGATAACAATAACAAGTGTTCACGAGCTCAGTACCCTAATTTGATTTTTCAAAAAGCTCCCGTAGGTCGCTGAATAGGAATATAAAGATATCCATATGTGAAAAACTCATACGCCTATTGTTCGAAACCATAGAATGAGTAGAAACCTCACTTGAGGGACAACTGCGCGATTTGTTTACAATGTGTTCGGCCTGAAAATCTTTAATAAACATATATGAACCGCAGGTGTTCTAATCTATTCGTAGATACCTTGCGACACGAGAGAAAAAATATCTTTAGGAATTTAAATGCTACGTAATGAGACAAACCTGTATGCTGTATGGTTTTTCAGTCCGGATCATACTACTAATTTGCCATTGGTCAATTTCAATTACGTAAGATCTCGAAAGATAAGATTGTCTTGGATGATTTTTTTTAATTGGCATCTTAAACGATGCTCGAAATTTATCCAGTGACATATCTAAACAACGAAAATCTCATTAGTTTCCTTTTTCATCATATCAACCACATCTCCAGGGTATATAAAATTAAAAAAAAATCCTT